GGAGCCCGATGCGGGACTCGATCCAGGGACTCCAGGATCATGACCTGAGCCGAAGGCAGTCGCTTAACCAACTGAGCCACCCAGGCGCCCTACAGGTGTGTTTTCTAAATATGCCTGCATAAACTTACACCCACCTTTACATGCGATGGCAAAGTTCCCCTTTCTAAATATTCATCCTAAACCCTCAATTAAAAGAACCCACTCACCTTGCTCAGGGAGTCATGACTTTGGAAATTATTCCCTGTCATCTCCTTATTTGCTTCAAATAAAGATTATTTGTGCAAAAATGCCACGTGTTGTAGCCTCTATGGGTAACTCACCAAGGAGCGGGGTCATGTCAGTCTGGTAACGAGTTGGAAACTGTCTTTCAGGGACGCATGTAAGAAATATCCTTTCACTTAAAAATAACAGTTCTCTTCTTGTTTAAGTCACAGGACTTTGGGATTGACAGCTCTGATTACTCCTAATGAGGAAAAGTGCCCCTGTGTTTCTGGAGAAGAGAGGATCATTCAAATATTGAGGTAAGGCAGTACCTAAATCCTTAGCTAATGAATAAGTGTTGGGAGGACAGCCTGTGGATTTGAAGAGGGCATAGAAATTAATTCAATGGACCATCCTTCTGTAGTACAAGTCTGTATAATTCTTCTCTTTTTCCCTACCCACTCCAAATTACTTTAATTCAGCCCATGACTAGAAATGTATTTACAGGTACACACAGTCTCCAGATAAAACATTTATTGAACTGTACTGCACATTTAATATCTGCTCTACAAAAATATTTATACTCTATCTGAGACAAAACACTCATAGGAGTTGTTTTAAAAGCTTTGAATCATGAAGTTGTGAAACATTTGGATTATGTGGATTAAAAAAATATATAAATTCAGTAAGATGAAATCCCAAAAGCCATTCTCCTTACCCTAAGTAAATGTTTTACAAGACTCATAAATAGTTTTTTTTTTTTTTTAGGTTCTTTCTTTCTTTCTTTCTTTCTTTTTCTTTTTTATTATGTTATGCTAATCACCATACATTACATCATTAGTTTTTGATGTAGTGTTCCATGATTTATTGTTTGCATATAACACCCAGTGCTCCATGC